CTAATTTCTATTCTCTCGTCCATCAAACTACAATCTATAGAAATTCCACGAGGGACCCACTCAGGGTTGTCATAAGAGGGGGGGGGGGGGGGTTTACATATCTGACTTTGACCTAAAAATATGAGGTTCACAAAGGTGGGTGCAGGTTGGGGCTAACAGCTGTAAATATTAATGTCAATCATCTGGGGTATAAGTTTGCCTAAGGGGCTCACAGGGGAAGGGGGAGAGATATTAAAACCTAACATGCAACATTACAATCATTGGTGAGGTTAACATAAAGAGGTATCCTGCCTCTGTAATGCAATATTGTGATTATTATTAGGGGCTCCCTAAGGTAAATCACATGCCATATGCAGATAAGCTTCAGCATACAAACAATAATACTGGGAGGGGGCTCGAACAGGGAGGCATTTCCAGCCACCACAAGTCATTTTAACTGTTCTTGATTCCCAGCTGGGAAATAATTTCTTTTTTTAATTTTTAGAAATTATTTAAAATTTTTAAGATAGAACATGTTGCCAAAATCTACTTGGAAGTTTTTTCTTTACTTCTTTTAGTGTTTTACTTCTATAATACTTCTGCTGTAAATCAACTCATTTGAATCCTCGATCCATTTTCCAGATTATATATTGATCTCCTCATTAGTATCTCATATCAGCATAAAAAAAGAAAAAAAAAATTAAAACGGGAAATCAAGTTTATCAGGAACCCATCCAGAGATATTTTCTGACAGTCTTCCAAATTATCTTTGTTGATCCATCTTCCATTTTTGATGTCGAAAAATTAGATGCCAATCAAAGTAAACTTTTAAAAATTCTGACCATCTTCCAAAAGACCGCTTTTGCACGCCACTGTTTATAGATTGTAATTTCCCAACAGTGTTTGCTATATAATTTAAGTGGGTGATTAAAAAGGAAACTTGAAATTTCCAAGGCTGTGTTTTTCAATATAAAGATCTAACACACAAATGCCTTAAACCCAACTGTTCATACAATTAATCTGATAAAAACAGTGGTTTATAGAAAACAAAAGGTACTCAGTTGTAACGATAGCTTTCACATACCTGCGCACCATTCTCCTCTGCCTTGGGAGGATTTTTATGTTCTATCAGTCTTTTCAGTGACCTCCTAGGTAAAACTGATGTCAGCCTCACAGTAGTATGTACTATTTCCACGAATACACTATCCATTGTGCATTATATAAATATTGATAATCTTAGGTCACTATATAGTTATTTCCTTCCAACTCTGATATTACTCTCTGCTGAAAATTCAATCTTTATCTTTGGCATCACAGCTGCCATGTTTAAATAGCAAATTTCTTCTTCTTGTCTCTTTCAATACAAGTCAATTATTCTGCCATATTTATCAATTTGTCTCTTTGCTGTAAATGTTTTCTTTCACAATTCTCTTTCCTTTCTCACCTTCAGTCCACCTTTCAGCATTCATTTTAAGTATATAGCTTTTGTTCTTTATTCCCAGAAACTTGCCACTGTGATAATATACTTCTGCATCACTTCATATTAAGTTTAATTGCCTCCTTGCTGTCTTCCTCCTCATCTGTATTCCTTCTCAAACTAATGAGAATTCACCTTTTTTCCTTCTACTGCAATCTGTGAGTTTTGCTTTTCCAACGTCTAACTTCCACCTTGTCTCCGTGGCAACTTTTCCTAGAATTCCAACCTGAATTCCTCAAAACATAGTCCAGATGTCACTGGCCTCGTGTGACATTTCTAAACTACAACCACAATTTCTGTTATCAAATATCAGTCAAGACATGATCTTGACCAGGGCAAACAATATCAAAACTTTCAGAAAGTAATATATATTTTTGAGAAATAACGCCAATAACATGTACTGCTGATCAGAAATGTAATGAAAATAAAAATCCTCCTAAATCCAATCCAAACAAATCATCAACTGGAAAAAATTAAAAAATGCTCAACCTACTAATAAAACACAACTCGCATTATTTCAGCTATTCTCAAAATCCATCGCCTGAACTCTGAAGAATTCTAGTCATCATGGCTGCAGTGCGACATATTGCGCCATATTGTACCTAATGGACAATATGTTACCCTGTTACACAGAGTGTGCCGCTATGGTCAGGCTGTTATAGGCTCCCAAAAGGAACAGGTAAACTAAAAGCGTTTTAGGACTAACCCCAAGAAGACTTTGTATTTCCGACCACCTTCTACGCATATTTTAGAAAAAAAAATCTTGCAAGCAGAAAGGTAGTTGGGGGGGGGGGGGGGAGGGGGGGGGGATAGAAGACTTATATCCTCCTTCTTGGTTTCTTAGATCATCCAATTGATCCTCATGTCCTTGTGAAAAAATAATCATACCAGTAGCCTAACTACCCTGTAACAATATCAGATGTGTGTATTACCATATGTTAAACATTATCAGCAATTATTATGTCACCATGAAATGATAATTGTCTTTTCTTCCAATTAGGAATGAAAATGAACTAGTGCTAACAGCTGGTAGATGTTTCATTCAGCCTAAAAAAGTTAAAATAGGCAATAAGCATAATATATAATTCTTTCAAGATGACCATGTCCCAACCTTTTAAGAGATTCAAATGATATAAAATATCTGTTTTTGTTTTAACTGCCTACTAAATGACTGAGATAGAAAGAATCCACCCCCTCCTCTATTGTAAAAAATAAATAAATAAATAAATAAATAAATAAATAAATAAATAATAATAATAATATAAAAAAAACTGACAAATTAAGTGAGTGGGTGAAGGGCTGTGGCCAATTCATGTTGAGAACATAAAAAAACAGGGGACAAATAGAAATAAGCACCTTTTTTAGAAATGCATACAAACAGCTACAACGAGGAAGATCATGAAAACCCTTTGTCTGCGCTACCACATGTTACCAAGGCAACAGATGTGGCTATCTGGGAAAAGACAAAGAGCTAACAAGGTCAGTTCTTTATAAATTCAATTTTTTTTCCTATTAACATTTATTAATGAGCAATCATTAGGGTTCATCAAACACGCAATTATCTCATCAAAAGATTTTGATTACTTTTAGTCACAGATTTGTTGGAATCAAATCCTTAAATTACATCAGTTCTCCATATTTCTCTTTCTATCTTTCATTCTCACTAGAATCCTTCACAAGAAATGTCTCACTTTTTCCTTACTCAGTTCTTCATTACCAAACAATAATGCTTCTCTCTTGGCTAGTTGGAATGTTTTTTTTTTAGTTCCAAATATGGATTTCAATGCTTCAATCCAGACTTTTGTCTTATTTGTACCCTATATTCATTTCAGTAAAGTATCCACATTTTTTTTTTTTTAAGGGTGGTTTCAACAGCAAAGACACAATATGCATTCCACTTACTGCTACTAATAAAACTTTGATCTATTTATCTTAACTTTTTACTTACTGATATATTTAAAATAATGTTCTCATTAGTAAACCACTAATGCTCATTTTTTTTTTTATACTTAACGGGTGCTTTTAGGAACCAAACCTCAAATGGGACTGCACTAAAAGCTGATTGCATCCAGTAACAACCATGGCAGGCACTGGCACAACTAACGCATTCCAGCACCTCCAACAACATTTTATTACCAACACCAAGCAATTATTTGTAAATACTGCAAACTGTGGATTTTTGTAGTTTTAGCTGATTATGGCACTTTTTTAAATGTGTCATACAGACTGTTATGTACTGAAACTAACAGTCATAATTTGTCAAACAGTTAAAGATGCAATGTGTAGTTAATCCTTCAAATTTAGCGTCAAGAAGAAGGACGTGGCTTATCCACCCCTACGAAGGTATCTTATCACGTAAGTTTGCACTGATAATTTTAATCGGTGGTTAATCACATGTTGCCCTATTGAAGTGCATTTCATGGAACAATTCCAATACAGAATACTAAATAAAACTGTGATTATTATTCTTTTTTGTCATTGACAGCATCATGCTTTGTCAAAGTTCACCTATAAATATGATACAATTCTGGAGATTGAATATCAATTACCTATAGAACAGATTACGATGTTGGGTAACTTTTGTATGCTTAGCCTAACTGTGCACTGTGAATCCCATTAACATGTGAACTTTTAACTACATATTTTTCTGTTATTAATAATCATACGTTCATTTATTATTTTGAAAATCCACATAACCACTTTAAATGAACATTTTGAATCACAGCACACCATCTTTTACATTTTAATAAAGTATATAGTAACTTTTTTTGTTAATGTTTGACCTTTCCAAAAGCAAATGAAGATGACTCACTGAGCAGTAATCTTTGACCTGGATCTTATAACCATCAGTTCATGCCTTAACTCTGACTATAATTGTCAGTCAGAAATGCAGACAGAACACATGCTGTGGATTCACTTTATCTCTCTATGCCTGATATTCTGCACAGAGCTTTTAACTTACACCCTAAACATGATATCCTATTCAACTGAAGTCCCAACAGAAGTCTCAACAGACAGTGAGTCATTTTACTTTCAGAGCCACTAAAGCTTCATATTCAGTGACAAATTCTTTTGTCCCCTGAATATGAGATAATATGCCATTTTTGAACAAAGAAAAAAAGAGTTGATGATGCCACAGCAAATTCATGCTTCAAATTTCATGTGCATCATTACAAATTTGTCATCACACGTACTCCCACACTTCCCTGTAAAAGTCCTATTCTGTAACCATAAACCTTCTGTCACTATTTCACAACACCATCATTAAGTCTATGGTTTTAGAGTTACATTTCCATGTACTGGTTCCTTTTGTTATATATTTTGTATATATTTGTTATATATTTAATATATATTTGTTCTCTGTGATAGAGTAAAATTTTGAAAATTTAGTTGGTCTTGAAAATTTTGTCGGAAAATTTCATCAAACTTGAACATTTTGGGCATTTTAAAATATTAATCAATTTTTAAGTGACAAAATTTTCAAGCTTTTGCCATATAGCAACATTTGTGGGGGTTGTTACAGAAGATAAATACGCGGACTTACCTTTGGCATTTCAGGCAACTCCCATGCCGACTCGGAGCCATCTTCTTTGTAGTAATATGTCCTCCCTTGGTCGTCTTGGGAACACAGCCACTAAAAAGATAAAAATTAACAGTTTAACACAATTTACTTTGGTTGGATGTCAAATTGAAGCATTAATCTGGATATTTAAGGTATAACATCGAAATGTCAGCTTGTCCCAAAGTCATATTTTCTGTATCTATACATCCTGCTAACAGCTAATTATCTTTCCCAATTCAGAAACTAAAAACAAAACAACCTCCCAATTAAAGGTACTGTGTATCAATATTTCCCGATGAAATGCAGCCAGAAGGACGTGGCAGTCTTAAAGTTGTGGGAAGCATTTGGAACTACATTACTTAATCAAAAATGGTACAAAATGTCAGATCCAAGTCAAAGAACAAGTTTTGCACTGATGAAAATTACTTTGGAAAAAAATTGAAAGTTTTGGCACACTTTAAACAGGATTCTATGTAGAAAATTATGAATCCAAAGTGCTAGTGGCATCAGATGGTCTCAAAAAAAACAACTCTTGAATATAAATTCCATTGCATTTCTCAGAAGCTCCTTTGATTTCATTTTTGCAAAATCATTTAAATTTGATAAACCAAAACAAATACCTTTTCCCCAAGACCGTCATTCACAAAAGTCACCTCTCCGCCATCATTTACTTCCTGTTTCCAACCTCGCGGAAGACTGGCACTTTTAGAGGAGAGAGTCGAAGGTCTCAATGGACTAATACTGGGGCTGTGAGGGGAAACTGGACTCGCCTGTAGAGTATTAAAGGCATGACAATAATATTCTTGAACTTCTCATACGATATGTGCTCGTTTTGCTCATATAAATCTCCTGACTTTAAAATTTTCTTTCAAAAAGATAAATATCTCATTAAAATCACTTGAAGTAGAAAATTTTTTCACTTCCTTTTTTCGTGACAATGGTACATAAAGATGGAAACGATGAGTATATATACTGACATAATGTAACTTAAACAATGTGTCTTGTTTATAAAACATTACACAAATTTCTTCGACATTTACAAGAAAATGTCATAATAGTATAATAAATGTATTGTAACAGACAAACATTACAACTGCATGTGGCAATATATTCAAAAGCATAATAATATAATGACATAAAATATAACACAACAAAAATGTTAATAACATATACAGAATAACAAATAAAGCCTAACCACTGCCCATGTATATCATGACAAAACAATCTGCAATACCCTAATCCCTGTAAATATAAACAAATAATTCTAAAGGGACATAAAAAACATGTAGACCAAACTTATTTAACCTCTAAAAGGTAATAATAAGTAAATTTAACCATAACATCTAAATCCAGAATCATAAATCTAAATTCTCATTGCACATAGCATTAGTCAAAGCAAAAGCAAAATTGTCCTTAACATTCATATGACATTCCAGATAATGATGCTTCTTCATCAGGCAGGGCAAAGATTATTGACTAAATTAGTTTTATGAGTTAGTGGTAAGAACATATTAAAATCACTAAGGTGCTACTGTGCAAAGTTGTCCTTAACATTCATATGTCATTCCAGATAATGATGCTTCTTCATCAGGCAGGGCAAAGATTATTGACTAAATTAGTTTTATGAGTTAGTGGTAAGAACATATTAAAATCACTAAGGTGCTACTGTGCATGCGTTTTAAGATATTCTTGTACATTATCATATAGCTGAAAAAAAAAAAAACAGTCTAGAGAACATGAACTCTCTCTTTAGATGTATGTGTGTGTGTGTGTGTGTGTGTGTGTGTGTGTGTGTTTGTGTGTGTTATTATCTTGCACTTGGCTCTGGACATTGACGTATGTGTATAAACTGAGGTGTATTTAGTGCTGCTTTAATACTGGTCTTTAAAACAATGGCATCATGGGTGCTTCCCTAGTTCCAAAGAGTGTTTTACAATCAACAGAAATATTTTCAGGTATTTTGGTAGATCTGAGGTTAAAAATGGAATGAAGAAGATGGCAGAGTACAGTAGTTGTGTGTGTGTGTGTGTGTGTGTGTGTGTGTGTGTGTGTGTTATGTCTTTATCTTATTGTGCTAGCTATTAAAATAGCTAGCCAAATGTACCACTGCAAACAGATAACCCCATTCAGCATATAATCAATATGGCCATGCATATTCCAGTTAGTCATCATGCTGCACAGTGCACAATATGCAAGTGTTAATACCAATAAACATGCAAATGCCCCCCCCCCCTCCTTGCATCTACTCTCATTCCCCCTGCTTGGTGTATATTTGCGCCAGATTCAATGTGCCTGCACTGACATGCACACAAGCAGGTGTACGCAATCATATGCACATGAATGGTTTGACAAATGTACTATGTGAAAGAAACATTACTTGCAACCAAAACAACAGGGATAGGAGAATTTGTCTCTTTTTCAAATCCCAAACATTTTGCCATTTTGAGATGTCAGTTTTGATTATTCAAGGGCCTATTTCACAAAATGAGTGAAATAAAAAAATCTGTCTTATCAAAGACTATTGAAAATTTTTACAAAGAATTTAAAAAGGATCCGTTTTTGGACTTTCAATCAAGCCCCTGACTCAATTTTAACTGTCCTGACAAATACTTTTTGTCTCAATGGTAATAAAAGCCCATTTTGGACTCTATGTCAACTAAATATTTTGTGCACCAATTGTTCATAAAATGCTCTTCGACCAATATCAAAAATACAACTTATAAGCAGTATGAATCAGTTAATAATTAGGCTTAAGGTCTTATGTGACACGTCACCAGACTCAACTGGTCTAGTAGCAAACATGACCTAAAATAGGCATCTGTCTTTTAAGATATCTGCTATTATTTGCTAGATAAATATTTTTGTCAATTTGAAACACGTTGCAATTTTATCATCAGGTGCAGCAGGCGTTGCAGCCCCTCCCCCTTCTTTAGTGTTTGTTTTGTGAGAATAAGTGCAATAAAACATATTATATATCAGTATTAGAAATGCGATTAGTGGTAGCAGGCAGAATACATCCAGATGCAATAATTAGAACAAAAAGGCTGTTAATGGGGCATGCAGTATAGTTAGATGAAATATAATAAATAACGATGCATACACAGAAAAAAAAAATATAATGTGGAACTGTCAATGAAATTTTGAGTCACAGAAAGTTCCAAAAGGAAGTAAAGAAATGTGCATAACATGCCACCTACAGGTGAAAAATCAGAGGAAAATGCAGAGTCCCGACTGGTGTTAAGTTGAAGCCGTTGCCTGGCGGTAAAAACCGCATCCGAGTGTGAGCGAATACGTGCTCGTACCCGAGGTGGGTTCCATGATGTTTGTCGCGTGTGCACGTTGTAGTAGTAAGTTCGTCCTGTAGTTTCGTCCAGATGTTCTTCCCAGCCGTAGTCGAGATTTTTCATAGGGTTATTGGGGACGAGGCTGGGGGAGGGAGGAGAGATAGCGAAAGTGGAAAAGGGAGAGAGAGAACCTGGTCTGTAATTCGCATAGTCTCGGTCAGAATCTGGGGAGTCCTGAGAAAGGGAGAGAAAGCACACAGAGATTAAAAAACACACTATATTAAGTTACTTTTTAATATGATCATGTTTTCTGAAGAATTTCACAGAAATTCTGTTATTATTGATTAAATCAGAGAGAGCACACTCAGAAACTAAAACACACTGCAAAGATGAAAAAGTTATCTGGTTTCTGTTGAATTTTATGGTAATTCTCTGTTTTGGCTGATCTTAAATAAAAGAGATAAATACACAATAACTAGAAATATATTTGAATTTACAGGACAACGTATCTTGTTAATAAAGAAGAGATTTGTTACAAAGTCAATGAAATTTAGTATTTTTTGATATATTATACGAAATGCAGTAATCTTATTATAGTGACTAAAAGTTAATCATTTGAAATTTAAAGGAGAAAATAGAGATTTTTAATTATTAAAATCAAAATCTGTATCAGTTCTAAGATTGGTTATTGGTATAAATAAATGATTATTATATTGAATTATAAATATGTAATATTATTTTTCTTTTAAAAGATTGAATGGAAGAGCCCCTAAAGAAATGTTTAAAAAATAATGTTAATACAGCACATTACAAAATATACCATAAGTGACATTCCATTGACAACAGGTTTTTATCACATGACAGATTCCCATGCAGCAACCCTGAAGAAAAAGCCAAACTGGATGACTTCCCTAGATAAAAGTCAACTAAAAATCTTCAAAATGAAAAGAGATTAAGAATTTAAAAAAAAAAGTCAATCAGAGGGATAAGACTTTCTGGCAATGGTTTCTGTTCAAAGCAAACAAACAGATAACTGAAATTGTTGACATCAGGAAATGCACCTACTAGTACTGGTGCCAAGATGGATTATACAAAAGTGGATGAAAAACGGGACATAAAGCCATCTCTCTCTCACTCTCTCTCTCTCTCTCACACACACACACACACACACACACACACACACACACACACACATCTTAGCTGCTCATAGAACATAATGGGAAGCCTGGGGTTTCTCTATTATTTAAAATACAGGGAGCCCAAAATGCTGATCTGTAATTTGGTCATCGATTTACAGGGAGTCCAACTACGAATATGCCATTATTCCCCAAAAAATTTATAAGCTGTCCAGCTGTCTTGGAAAATATGAACAGTCTTTTGAGGACAAAGGCTGTCCAAATGATGGTTGGACTGCTCTCTGGGAAAACTCTTGGGTGAGGAACAGTTAACTCTACGGTGGCCTGGCCCTTACAATTAAAACCATATATAGACAACTGAGTCTAGATAGTAAATGATGCCAGCATGCTTATCATCAGTTTATAAATAACAGACACCCAATAACATTTCTGTAACCAGTGGTAATCTAATATTTCCAAGAAATCAATGACTTAATATTGACTTAATAAGTTAATTTCTATCTAAGTCTATATGTACTTAGACAGCCCTGCTAAATTGTTCAATGATGTCCTTGTGCATACCGTGTGCCATTCATATCAAATATCATAATATATTTACTATAGAGGATACAGTACTAGTATATACTGGTATACTCTGAAAGGCCCTAACACGTAATTAACTAACAATTAAATCCCTTAAACTAGTTTCCCATAATTCTCTTTCCTGTTGTGAAGTTTCTAGTTTTTAATTGGTTTTGTCAAAGATGGGGATGGGGAAGGACATTTAGGTGACTCTCACAAAAAAGGAAAGACTATTAGACTGTCACTGCAATCTCACAAAGTGTACTAGTACAGGCTAATATATCTCTTAGGTATACAATCTATGTATAAAGGACCTTACATCATGGCAGCTTACAAATATATTATAATTTTTAAAATGATATATTTCTCGAAGTCAACATCAACGAAGGAGGTGGATCTGCATCTGATCATTCTTCTGTATCGACTATAATTATTGTACTAGTAGGCCCACGCTCAAAATGTGGCACTGGGATAAAAACTTAACTTTCCTCCTGGTTAAATTATTACAATGCACACTCCGCCCTGGTGTAGCCTTTTGTACAATGTAGGATGGGGGAGTTCAAGAAGAACTGGCTTTATAAAATATGAGACTATGTATCGTTTATCATGATGACAACAAGAGTTAAAGAAATGGGGCATATAAATTCTCTGATACTATCGTACTTTGCAAGCCCTTGCTTGAAAGATGACATCACTTATATGGCAATATTTCATCCTTGCTTTATATTATAGTAAGGGCAGTTTATCAAGTATCAATATTACATATGACACCGTATCAAATATCATATAAGTTATAAAAATCAGTACTAGTACAGATTAATAAAATGACAAAACTTAGAATTCATTCTTGCAAGGGCTTTCAATGGGATTTGGGGCACAAGAAGTCCAAAATATGAATCTGTAATTTGGACGCACAAATTTTAAAACTTTTTCAAGGTATTGAGACTGCCATTTAGTGAAAAAGTAGTAGATATGGCAGGGGCTCCAGGGGGGCTGGCTAGGCCAATGACATTTTTCATTCCAAAAAAAAAACTGGAAATCTGCCATTAGTATGTAAAATCTCATCCCTGCTTTTTACGATAAGACTTAGGCTTCGTTCACATGCAATGTCTATTTTCTAAATTCTATTTTCTATTTGCGGTATGTCTTATGATCACGGTCTGTGGCCTGAATATCCCGCGGCGTAATTACTGGCAGCGCGAGCCAGTTACTATAAGTTACTATAAGTAACTGGCTCGCGCTGCCAGTAATTACGCGGCGGGATATTCAGGGCACAGACCGTGATCATAAGATAGCGAAAATAGAAAATAGAAATTAGAAAATAGACATTGCATGTGAACGAAGCCTAAGTCTCTGCCATCTACAGACTTTTTGAAAAAACTGATCCCTGAAGCTTCTCTCTTTATATATATATATATATATATATATATATAAAAGGTCCAGGGTGGACAGCAGTATTTTTATTTGCCTTTTGCATGCACAGGCTACTTTTAATGCTTACTTTATGCAAAGGAGAAGCATGACAGTTGAGACGCATTTATATAAAGTTAGTGAAGATGCTGTTTGTTCACTGGCAGACATCTTGATGGTCATAACAATCTTTCATCAATCATCACTGTATATCCCCCTGACACTGCCATTTTGAATACATGAATTTTTTTCTTTCTATTTCTTTTAAAAAGTATTGTTGCAATTTTGAATTCACACAACAAAGCAAAACTGATTGTCTTAGCTAAGAATTCCGGTGACCACTTCATATATTAGAGAACAATATGGCATGTGTCGTGTGTGCATGCAAAAATATGTTGTCAACTTCTGTTTTCAACATCTCTTTTACCTTTTTGCTTTTTCTTTGTAAGTTTTGCTATCTCAAAACTATTTTCTGGCATTCTTGTGCACGCACACACACACAATAAACCCCTCAACCATTTCAAGTTACGATGAATTCTCTAAATGGCTCTCAGAAATCCATCTCACTGTCAATCAATTTACAGATATCCTCATGCATTAATTGAGCACATATATCCTCATGCATTGACACGACTGCACTCATTTGCATCCCGATCCAGTCCACAACTTATCCGGATTAATGACCCTAGCATGGACAGGGTAGAGGTGATCTATAAGATAAGGCAGATGGCATCACATTTTATGGTTCAACTTGTAGCCGGAGGTATTACATCACATGTCTATGTAGCGTGTGTTTTGGCAAGCGGTTGTGTTATGATTTTATCACATATACTGAATCTAAATCTGCTGTCATCTCTGTATCATTTAATCACTGTGGTTAAGGCACTGCTCCAGAGGTCTGGACAGTTGCAGAGGGGGGGGGGGGGGGGGGGGAACAAAAA